GTGGCGCGGCAGGCGCGGAGGCGGCGCGCGCGCAGGACGCGCTCGCGGCGCGGCTGCAGGCCGGCGCGGCGGAGCGCGCGCTGCTGGAGGCGCGGTGCGGGCAGCTGGCGTCCGACCTGGCCAGTGAGCGCGCGCGCCACGCGGCGGAGATGCGCGTGCTTGAGGAGCGCGTGAAGGGCGCGGTGGCGCGCAAGGACGAGGCGATCGCGGCGCTGAAGGCGCGGCTGGACGCGGCGCAAGGGCAGCTGCGGGGCACGGAGGCGCTGCTGGCCGGGCAGCGGGACGAGCTGCTGGCCGGCGGCGGATAGCGGGCGCTGCTGCCGCAGCTGCTGCGGCGGCGGCATCGGTGCTGCTGTGTAAAGCTGCCGCTTTGTTAAGGCTCATTGTGGGGTTACGAGGGGTTACTTTCAGCTCGCCGCAGGCTGATAATGGGGGGTGGTGACTATCATGATTCAGCGTCACCGGGGCAGAATGGTGGTGTAGCTCGTGCTTGCGGTACGCATGGCGGGCGCTGTTGCACTTGCGGAGCTGAATGATACAGATGTAGGATTACCCTCACAATTGTGACAGAAAATGCAGGTTGCTGAGCGTTCTGCAATTCGGAGATGCCGCGCATGCGCAGGTGGCGTGCGGACCAGGGTTTTCAAAGAAACGTGCTGCATGTGCGTGGCAAACAATTGTTTGCCAGTGTGTCCGTCAGCTGGCCTGGCTGCGGGGCGGAAGTGTCGGTATGAGTGCTGTGATGGTGATGGAGCAACCACCAACCCGCAACAGGCCCTTGGCCTGTTCAGCCGCATCTCCTGGTCAGGCCCAGCCCTCACTTCAGGGAGTCAGCCGGAGCCGACCCCCCGACGGCCCAATCGGGTACGGCAGGTGCTGACAGGGCTGCACATGTCGACGGCTCATAAGTCATTTGAGTCTTCTGATTATTGTGAGATCATTACTTGATGCTGTAATGTGGGCAAATGTGAGTGCAAGAAAGCCTTGGACGCAGGCACAAACCTACAGCAAGTACTGCCACGGCTCCAAAAGAGGGGCACTGCATACCAGGCGAGCGCTCACATCTAGCAATGGGGGCGTGGGTGACACTTTCTGATTGCGTGAGCTCTCAGTCAAGCCCTCCAAAATCATCAAGAGTCTGCCAAACGCCCGCATGTATATGCCACGGCTGCAAGCCTGCTGGGCACCCTGGCTCGAAGCCATCACTCGGTGATTGCTGGGCATCACATGCCAGCACGCCGTAGCATCTGGCGGCGTTGCTGCAATCCTGACAGCGCACCGACGCAGCAGACACGCCGTGCGGCCTCGAACCTCTTTTGTGCCTCCTGTTGTGGTGGAAAAAGGAACGCCTGGCGACATGGTGGCGTTCCGACAAAGCAGAGGTGGGGTGCCTGGTAGAGAAGACTAGGAGGCATCCACTACAGAACGGGAGCAGCGGCGCAAAAATCATCGAAGGTCGGTCAAAGACACAGCTGGCCCAGGTTCCTTCAGGTTTGATGCGGGCGGGCGTCGCTCAACAGCCCGCCCTCGTGTCAGAGCTACAAGCAAACCAGCGTGAAGGCGCACACCTTTGTGCTGCGCACCCTCTGACACGATCTGTGTGCTCTTTTGATAGTATCTGGCAGTACTCTCTTGCGATAGCACGTGGCAGTCACTGCGGTACGTGATGTGACATTCACATCGACCATCCATCGCTTGTGGCAAGAGGCAGCAAAATAAAGCGCCTTGCCTGCACACCCAACAACGGCGATATTAAGTATGTGGATGACATCAAAGTTCTGAGGGATGCAACTATATTGCTGGCGATGACGATGCAGGCAAACGGGGAAAGCGCTGCCGCCGCCGGTGCCTCTCCCGCTCATCCGCCAAGCGTACGCAAAACGTGACGTCCTTTGGCGGTGCCGCCAGTCAACAGGGAGGAGTTTATTGCCGCAGCCGCGGGGCTGCGCCACCCGCCGCAACTCACCACTGATGCCGGCAGCCAGTAAGGCAGGGGAGCTGAGACCCCCCTGGTTCTTGCTCTAAAAGTTTGGTGTACGTCAGAGGCCCGCAACTCAGTGCAGGTGCCTCCAAAATCCCCCTACCTGCGTGCGGGCCCTATTCCTGCTCCCCATCCACTGCCGGGGCAGACAGGCATCCACAGGCCCAGAACGGCGCGCGGCGGCGGCGGGGTGCTCCCGCCGCGTCCCGGCCCAGGAGCGACGGCGGCGCGTCAAGGGAGGGCAGCCGCAGCGCAGAGCCCTTCCCCTCCCCTGACAGCGCCGCCACGGGGCTGTCCGCGCCCGCGTCGGCGTCCCAGAACGCGTCGCGCTGGCTGGCGGGCAGCTCCGTCACCGCCGCGTTTGGCAGGTACGCACCGGGCCCTGCGGAAGCCGCCGGCTGCAGCGCTGTGGGGCCCGGGGCGCTCGGGACGGTCGCAATCGGGGTCGGAGGCGGCGATAGCTGCTTTACCTGCCGCTCGGGCGGCGTCCGGGCCGCAGCGGCTGACGAAACCCGTGCATCGTTGAATGGCGACAGTGTCTGGACCGACAGCTGCTGCTGCTGCAGCTGCTGCTGCTGCTGCTGCTGCTGCTGCTGCTGCTGCTGCTGCTGCTGCTGCTGCTGCTGCTGAATGGTGAAGCTGCCGCCGCCTGTCCTCGAGCTGTAGGACAGCCGGTGCGGCGCCTTGAACCCGCCCCCAACACCGCTCCCGCCGCGGCCGCCGTTGCTGTTGCTGTTGCTGTTGCTGTTGCTGTTGCTATTGCTGTTGCCGCTGCCGTTGCTGTTGCCGTTGCTGTTGCCGTTGCCGTTGCCGTTGCCGTTGCCGTTGCCGTTGCCGTTGCCATTGCCGCTGCCATTGCCGCTGCCGTCGCCGCTCCCGCCATCGCCGGCGGCCGCCAGTGCAGGGGCCCCCAGCGGCGCGAGCGCGCACGACCCCGCCGTCGCCGCGTTTGATGCGGCGAGAGTGAAGGATGACAGCTCTGCCGGGTCTGGTCTATCTATTGAAGAGCACGTGCTCGAGGCGCGGCTCGCCGACGCCCCTCCGCCAAACAGGCTGCCCCCGCCACCTCGGAACTGCCCGCCCTCTTGCGCACCGGCGCCGCCGCGGGGCGTGCTGCCGCGGCTGCTGCTGCGCATCAGCGCGATCTCGTCCAGCGGCGTGTGGCTGCGGGCGCCGAAGGCCTCCTCGAACGCGAGGCTGCCGCTGCCGCCAACGGGGGCGTTGAGGCGCAGGGAGGGCAGGTGGGCGCCGAGGGTCAGGTCAGGCTCCCCGACCTCGTCCTCTGACGTCTCGACGGCAGCGTCCTGGGTAAAGACGGCGTCACATAATGGGGTGCGGCGTGCCGTGGGGCACAAGGGTTGGCATGCTTGCAGTCGTAAGCCGTTTCATTGGTTGACCAGGAGCAAGGCGTAATGCGCACACAACGCGCCGCCGCGCGCGTGCCGCACTGCCTGTTGCCAGCCAATGTACAAGCAGCGCGGCCGGCCCAGTTCAGCCTGGCAGGTGCAGAGATGTCAACCTGTAAACGCGTGATGTTGCCACGACGATAAGTCCCGAGCCATTAAACCCACCTCGGGGATAATGGGGATGTCAGTGGCCATCTGTCGGCGCACCGGCGTGTTGGAGGCGCGTCCCAGCTGCGGCGGGCCACCCTGCGCAGCCGCGGAGGGCGTAATCACCGCACCAGCATCCCCGCCGCCATTGTCCAATGCGCACCGCTGCTCCGGCGACAAGCACTCGCCACCCGTGGCTGCCTGCTCGTCTTCCTCGCCCTCGCCCTCCTCTTCGGCCACAGACGCGGGCGCAGACGGCAGCCCGTTCATCGCGCGCCGCAGCTGCTCGCCGCTGACGCCCCCACGCCACCCCGCGCCGCGCCGTGGCGTGCCGTGCGGCGTGCTGCCCGTGCCGCTGGCAGAGTCGCCGCCACTGCTCGACGCGCCCGCGCCAGTTGCCGCTGAAGGCGCCTGGTGCGGCGCGGCCGCGGCCCAGTGCGGCGTGGCCGGGGGCGTCGGCGGCTGGGACCGCGCCGCAGGCAACGGCGCCGCGAGCGGGGCCGCGCCATCGCCGCCGGCGCGGCTGCGGGCCGGCGTTGGTGGCGGCTCCCGGGATCCAGTGACCTCCTGGCCACTCGTCATTGAGATGATCCCCTGCTCGTCCAAATTGGCCACTGCGGCCGGCGCAAGGCGCGACGCGTCGCCGCCCCCTACCTTTGCGGCCGTCTCGCATGCAGGGTGTTCTGCTTGGGGGGCGGCTTCAAGGGGCCCGTGCACTGAGGAGTCTGCGAGGGAGGGGCACGGGGTGACGGGCGCCGCCGGGGTGACACCCCTGGCCGCGCCCGCGCCGCTGCCAAGCAATACCGTGCGCGCCGCCGCAGCCTGAAGGTCGCCACGCGCCGACTCGGCCTCTGCCCGCTCGACCACACGTGCAAAGATGGCCGCTGTGAGCGCCGCCACCGCCGCTTCCTGGCCGCTTCTACCTTCTGCTGCCGCAGCCGCGCCGCCGCGTCCCTCGCTGGTGCTGCTGCCGCGGCGCGCCCAGCCTAGCAGCGGCCGCAGCCCGCGCCAGCGCGCGCCGCCGCCGCCGCCCTGGTCCCTGGTGGCGGCCGCGCTGGATCGCGGTGACACCACTGTGCTGTGGTGGTGGTGATGGTGAGTGTGGCTGCGGCCGCTGCTGTGCTGGCGCTGGTCCCTGGCCGCAGGCGCCGCGCCTGGCGCGGCCCCAGTTGTTGCCCCGGTCGAAAACGCCACGTCCGCTGTCAGGTCTCCATCTATATGAGGGCGCTTCGCAGCACGCTCGCTCTCCAGTGCTTCAGCTGGGTGCTTGGCAGGCGCTGCGGGGTTGGCGGCAACGGCGACGCACAGGCTCGGCGGACGGTGGGGTGACGCACGGTGAATTTTGGGTCGTCACCGACACTACCGGCGTGGCCCGGCGGGCCGCCGGCGATACCCCTTGGCGAACCTCAGCCCTATGACTTGCACAAGGCAAGACAAACGCTTTCAATGAATGGCATGAACAAAGCACAGCTGCATCAGCATGGCGCACCTGACAGCGCGTCCCGCGGCGCGAGCTCGCCGTCATCGTCGCCGTGCTCTTCTGCAAACGCATCATCTGTGAGCTTGAAGCTCCCGAGTCTCGCGACTGCGGCCACCATCGTCGTTCGCAGCTCAATGTGTCGGAACTGCGATCGAACGGGATCCTCCACTAACAGCCGTACATTGCAACAATGGTTTCGTTACATATGGGAGAACATCACGCAGGGTGCTGAGCAGATCATATGCATCGCTGCCCCGTTGGTTGCCACTCCGCTCGACGAGGATTTGATGCTGCCTGCTGGCGCCCATAGCTTGTGAGGCTTGTGCAGGTCGCCGGCGCGAGTATTTTGTACCAATCAGTGCAGGGCGTTGTGATGGCCCTGCACTGCACCAGAGGGGTGACACGACCTGTGATCGAGCGGCGTACCGTGCGCCATCCCGCCGTCACAGCTGCTGCTGCTGCAACTGCTGCTGGTGGGGCCGGCCCATCATCGCCTGAGCGATCATCACACTCAGATATAGCACCTTCAGCAACCGAAGCGGCGGCAGCAGCAGCTGCAGCGGTGCAGGCCGACGGCGGCTTGTATGACTTTGAGCGGCGGCACCATGCGGTGTCCCTGGCATACCTGGGCGATGCCGTGTGGGAGGTGGGCAGTGCCGTGCTGAGTTATTGCTTGTATGCTCGCTCCACCCGCTTGCTGTGCTCGTTGCGGGCGACGGCATGTGCGTCCACTGTGTGCCACCAACAATGGCGATGCGGGGCACAACAGGCGTGTTGCAACTTACCCCTCTCCGCTCCCTGTACGCCACGCCTCCTTGCGCCCCTGCCGCCTGCCCCCGCCGCGCGCCCCAGCTCTACGTGCGCCGCGCCGCCTACGTGCCGCCGAAGCACCACAGCCGCTACCTGGCAGCCGTGCGGCCCCACGTCTCCGCAGAGGGCCAGGTGCGCCCTCGCGCCCACCGCAGCGCCTCGCTCGCCCGCGCGAGGCTAGTCACCTATTGCGGAAGCCCTCGACAGAGCGACTGCCTTTGAATACCGCATTGTGCTGGCAGCCGCCGCCGGCCTCGGCGGTCCTGTCCTACTACCATACGAGAGCTGAGAATTGTAGCGGCCCCTCTGAACCCCTGGCCAGGCCGCGTACCACGACTGGCTAATGGCCAGCGGCGCCCTGGCACCCCACGAGGCGGCGCTGCTGCAGTGGGCGGGCCGCAAGCAGCACGTGCGCATGCGGACGCGCTTCAGCCGCGCCGGCGCCGAGAGGACGTACCGCAGGGCCACGGCGCTCGAGGCGCTGGTGGGTGCTCGCATGATCACGGCTGGGCGGGGTGGATTAGGGCGTTGAAGTTCTGTTGGAGGCATGGGTGCGCGGCTGCCTGTGTGCACGCGGTGGGAAGGGATTGGGGGCGCATGAAGCGTGGCTGGCAGGCTGTGCGCTGGAGGCGTGACTGCAGCAAGCAATGCCTTCAATGGTGGCAGCGACCCCAATCAGGCAGGTGGCGCTTGTCACGAGGCTTGTGCCGAATGCGGCCACGTTTCGCTGTGTGCGGTGGCGCGAGGCAGCTGCTGGTCTGACTGGCTGCACGCCTCTATGGCGGGGCCTCAGCCTGGCGCCCTCTCATGAACACCCCGCCGCATCAATTTGCCTTCCAAACAATCACCTGCCCCCGCAACCCCAAACCTCAACCCCGAATTCTGAACCCCTAGGTGGGCTACCTCCACATGACTGATCCGCAGCGCCTGCAGCTGCTCGCCGCCCAGATGCTAGAGAGCGGCGCGGTGGCGGCCCCTGGGGACGGCAACGGCTCCGCGGCCCCGCCTGGCTCAGCAACCACTGAGGGCTGAGGGCGGGGCTTGTGTTTCGTGATTTGCTTTTGGTGGGCCGCATCAAGCGCAGCTCTGCCTATACTGCTTGCAGGTGGAACGGCATGACGTCCAACTGACTGCCTGGAGCATTTCCTTGCGCGTCGCTGTGCCGCCCTGTGTGGCCGACGCTGCAAACCCTGCTTTTAATCTGGTCGTAATCGGTGCCTGCTCGATACGCTTTTATACGGTAGGCGGGCTTTCACGCTCGCTCAGCACAGGCGGCGCGGGCGTGGCAGCCGCTGATGCAACAGCGATGCGCGGGGCATGTACCGTGGGGGTGCTTGTGGGGGGCAGCAGAGCAGCAGAGTTGGGTGCTGCGATTGGTGGCTTCACTCTGAGTGTCACGGTGGTGCTGCAGCGCGGTGAAACATCTTTGCGGCACGTGTCAGCGACCACGTGCTGAGCGGTTGGACGCGTGGCGCTTTTGCCTCAGAGGTGGGGCGGCGGGCGCACGCTCCTTGGACGGCGCTGCACGGAATCCCAGTAGCGCTGGCCCAGCCAGGTGTTATTGTCGATGCCCGCGTGCCCCTTGAGATGCCTTCGGCATAGCAACGGCCGCGTTGGGCGCCGCCTTGACGCTAAGTGTGATGCAGGATCTGGCTCATGCCATGGCCTTGCGCAGGCAGCCACACGGCAAGCAGTCATGAGTGCAACCTGGAGCTGTCATGATGACCAGAGGTGCACATATTGAGGGCTGTCACCCAAGGTCAAAAACGTTTTATGTGGACAAACAATTCCAAGTGGGTGTGGGTCAGCAGACCGTACGTGAATGCTGCTTGACTGCAGCAGAAAGGGTCACCAGAAGGCGATCCATGTTTGATAGGCTGCACATATGCAACAACAGCACGCGCCCGGCCCAAGCGAGCCAACCGCAGCACATGACGACGATCCACACCACGCGCACCCGCGGCCTCAAGCCCAGCTGCCGCCGCTTTGACGCCGCCGCCCGGCCGCCCCGCTGTCCGCCTGCGGCCCCACGTCGCGGCCTGCCTGCGCCTGCGCCTGCCCCAGCCGCTGGGCGCTGTGGGCTCGCACCTGCAGCAGACAATTGTCAGCAGGCCATGTGGCTGAGGGTTGCGTGGCGCACATGGCCGATAGGTGCACAGGTGGCCATACAGCCATGGCCGACCGCTTGTCCCGAATCTCTGCGTGTCATGCCCTCTCTTTGCGCGCCGCATCGCTGCAGCGGCCCATGTCGCAAACCAGCCCGCGTCGCACCCCCTCGCCCCGCGCACCTCCTCCCTGAACAGCTCATAGAGCGCGTGGCCGCGCTTCGCCGCCGCGCCGTCGGACCCAAACAGCTGCTTGAAGCGCACCTGGCGGGAGGGCGGAGCAGAGCGGCGGAGGTTAGCAGGAGGAAGACCCCGTCGTGGGCGATTAACAAAAAGAGTTGTGTGCAGCATCAGTGAAAGGGGGTCTGCTGCATCGTCGCCGGGCTGACATCTGCCAATCAAACAGCACAGCCCCCATGCACGCGCCTGCTCAAGCCGACCAGCCGCCTGGTTGAGCGGCGCTCTTCATGCGGACCCTCCTGGCCCGCTGCCCGCAAGACAGTCGGTTGGGCCCCACCTCTGGGAAGCGCGTGAAGGCCTTGCCGTCCACAGAGGGCGGCAGCGCCGCCGCCGCCGCTTGGAAGCGCCCGCCGCCGGCCTCGCACACCCACCGCCGCACCTCCCCCGGGCTCCACTTCGCTGGCGGGAGCGACAGCGGCGCGTGAGGCAGCAGCGCGCCGGGGCGCCCCGCCGAGGCCGGCGGCATCGGGGCGCAGGCGTCCTGGTCCTGTGACTGCTGCCGCCCCGCTGCGGTGCGGCCGCTCCAGCCATGCGCTGCCCCCGGCGTCGCCGGCGCCACGGCTCCAGGGGTGGTGCCCGCCACCGGAAGGCTGCTGCGACCGCTGCCGTTGGCGGCTGGGGTGGAACCCCCTGGCGCCGGCCCGCAGGCTCTCCTGCAGGTGAAAGAGCAGGCCGCGTGCCTCTCTTGCTGCTGCTGCTGCTGCTGCTGCTGCTGCTGCTGCTGCTGCTGGCCCCCTGGCGGGCCGGACTCATCCTCCTGCTCGCACGCCAGCCCGCCCCGCGCCCTTGCGACCCCGACAGCAGCAGCGCCCCCTGCCATTTGTGCGCTGTGAGCTGTGTGCCCCGCGTGACCCCCGAGCGCCCTCTCCTCGAGCATCATGTCTGCATCGCGGTCCATTCTGAGGCCGGCCATCACTGCCGCGTGGCGCAGCGTGTTGAGGGTCGCCTCGGTGTCTGGGGTTGGGGGCGGGGTGGGGAGGGGGATTGCGTTGGGGTGGGGGACGTTCGGCTGTGTGGGTGCGCTTCAGGGGGAAGATGGCAAGATATTGAAGCCTATAGAGCTGGTGTGCAAACACATGAATTGTATGACTTGGGCAACAAAGAGGTGCAGTGTGATGACACACCAACATGGTGCCGGCCGCTGCACTCGTGATTCCGTCACTCCAGCAGCAGCCCGTCACGCCATCTCATCACTTTGCCCCATCCCTCCTTCTCAAGCCAAGGTACCGCCCTGTAATCCGCCATCCCAACCCGTCCCCAATTAAACCGCGGCGCAGACCTTACCAGACGCGCAGGGGCTGACTGTCGCAATCACCACCACCCGCGGTTGCCGCAGGCCGCCGCCGCCGCCGCCGCCGCCGCTGCTGCTGCCGCCGCCGCTCGGCTCCAGCACGCGCTTCATGAGGCGCGACAGCGTGCTCTCGCGGTACGGCACGTGGACGGGCGGCGCGTCGGGCGGCAAGCGGGACGCCACATTGCGCTGCCGGAAGCACTCCTGTGTGTGGAAGTGAGCGTATGTCAAGGGGTGCAAACGGCGGGGGAAGCTGCTCGTGCGTTGTCCAGGGTTCTGCAACAGCGACACGGACGCAAAGGCGACTCCTTTGCGTTGCTGCGGCCTATTCACGCGCTGACGGCCACTACGCTCATCGGGTCGATTGCACAACCACCGACCGAGCACTACCCTGGTGCCACTTGTGAAAGCTTCCACAAACATTGGCGCCCACACCCCAAGAGCGCGCGGCGTCGCCACACTGCCGCCGCGCCCACCTTGAGTGTCGCGAGGCCGCTGTTGATCTCGGCGCTCTGCAGCTGCCGCTCCATGTCGTGATCTGCTGAGTCAGCAGCCCTCTCGCTGCCAGCCAGGTCGACCAGCAGCAGGCTGCCACCCCGCCCGCCGCCGCTGCTGCCTCTGCTGCTGCCGCTGCTTTCACTATTGCCGCCGCCGCCGCCGCGCGTGGCGCCAGGTGTGGTTGTGATTGGCAGGAGCTGCAGGTCGTAGAACGCGTGGCTCCTGCCAGGGCGGTGGGTAATATGTAACGGCTGATTATGGTGTGAGTGACGGCCCGGCGGTTGCAGTAGATTTGGGACTGAGTCAAGGCAGGCAAGCCTGGCAGCCTGGAATGGGCGGCATCTAAGCACACAAAGAACCCCCAGGTATGGTTGGCCTCAACCCACCAGCCAACCCCGTTCCCGCACCTGGAGCTGCCCGGGTTGCGCGCCGTCGCCGCCGTGCGCCTCGCGCGCGACGCCTCAACTAGCAGCGCCCGCAGCGCCCCCGCGTCCCCCGCGCCGCGCGCCGCCGCGTCCAGCACGATCCGCCCCGCCTTGTCCTCGCGGATGCGCAGCTTGGCGCGGCCCGACAGCAGGTCGTGCGCGGCGGCGCCGCAGACCTCGTAAGCCGACACCCGCAGCAGCAGGCCGCGCCGCGCCAGCAGGCCGCGCGGGCCGAACAGCAGGCGCGAGGCCTCGTCGAGGACGGCGGCCATGGTGTAGCTCTTGCCGCTGCCGGTCTGGCCGAAGCAGCATAGCGCCGAGTCGCCGCCGGCCGCCGCGGCCTCCAGCAGCTGCAGGGCACGCGCGGATTCCGAGACGAAATGCCAAGCCTGGTAAAAACAACAGTCATCATGACATCACTAATGGCCCCGCCGCGCTGCCCCAAGACTTGAGATGCTCTGCATGGCGGCGGCTTGTTGGGGGCGCCCCTCTAAATGCCCGAAAGACCGGCCCCCGCCAACCATGAACATTTTTGACAGACCACTGTAACCTGTTCAGAGCGACCGCGCCGCGCGTAGGGCACAAGACAGCAGCATGCCGGCGCTCGCGCCCACCGGCCCCGCACCTGCCCGAGCCCGATGCGCTCCACCACCTGCGCGTTGGACGCCGCCTCATCAAACGCGAACAGCGGGCTGTAGTAGGTGGCCAGGAACGGCGTCCGCAGGTCGGCCCGCATGCGGCACGCGTGGACCAGCAGGCCGTGGGGCGAGGCGGCCGCCACGTCGAACTCGCCGGCATCAGCCTCGTCCTGGAAGATGGGGCGCTTGCGCGCAAAGACCTGCAGTAATCAAGCACCCGCGTGGCGCGAACGTGGCGGAGGAGCGGCGGGGCAAGAAGGTGGATTCCAGGCGTCAGGTTGGGGACGGGGTTGGGCAGCGGCGGGCATTTAAGGGGAGGGGCATGGCGCGGTGTTTGGGATGCAGCGGGCTGCCGGCGTTGGCGTGTGCGCCAGCTCTCTGCGCTGAGTCATGCTGGGGTGGGCCAGCGTGATCTGTCGCCGCTGCTGAGCCACCCTGAGCCGTGAATCAGACGCACTCGAAAAAACGCAGGACGCTGCTTCCTTGTTCGGGCTGGCGTGAAAACCTCGCACACCTGCACGGGCTCGTCATTGGCTGTGGGGGAAGGGTCGCCGCCCAGCCCCTGTGCCACCTCATCTAGAAATGTACCGGCCGCGTAGTGGTCTCGTATCGCCGCGGCAAACGCGGCGCCGTGCTTCTTGCGCTGCGGTTTCGCAAGTGCGCGGGGCGGCGCAGCGGCACGGTGTGTGGGTGGCGGGCCCGGTTGGCTGCGACAGCACAGCTGAGTTGCCGTTTTCGGGCCACACCCTGCAAACAATCTCGCCCGCTCGGGCGCCTCTCACCAGTGTGCGCTTATCGAAGACAACACGGGATCCCATGGCGAACCTCTGCACCACTGCGCCGCCTGGCCCGGAGCGGCGGTCGGTTGCTGCAAGCACCAGCAGCAGCGCAGCTCTGCCCCTGCTCCGCTGCTCGACGCCGCAGCCTGGCCGTCTCGGCGAACGCACCCCCGGCAAGCCTCTTTGAATGAATACCTATTCAACAGACCAACCGAATCTTAAGAGGAGCAGTCAAGCGGAGCAGCGTGGCATGCCGTAGTTTGAACCAGCACGAATGCAAGCACCGTTGATGACTTGTTGCGGTAACCGTTCTATACAACAAGTGGTTCGCATACTGTATCATATGGTATTATTATCATCACAATGACATCGAGCTGATCTGTAAACACACAGCTCATCAATCGCACCTGCTGTCGTCATCCTGGCTCTTGTTTGAGCACCAAATACGGTAATAAAATGCGCACAAGCTCTCCAGCTTAGGGCAGTGCCGACGGCCAGCGGCACAGTTGACCGTCAACGGCGCGGCGCTGACTGCATTGGTGCTGCGAGAGCGGGGCTCTGCTGCCAAACTGCAAACGCCGGTGTAGATCGTTGACCAACAAGAACATCCAGATTCACACAGCAGTGAATTGAGATGTCGGCGCAGTCTCATGCCAGCAGGCATGTGGTGTCGGAGCACCTGTGCGACCGCCACCCCCCAAGCGGAGCGCTCGGCATTGGCATGGGGAGCGACGCGGCAAAGGCACAGATAGGCGAGGCCTACGGCCGCAGGTGCATACCCAAGGTGCGCACTCCGCCCCTTGAGCTTGCCGTCATATGTCGCGACTCCATCATCCGTGCCAAGGGACCCCCTGTGCCAGGCGGTGCCAGTCAGCACGACAGCGTTCTGTCGTTGCCGCGTTGTGCTGCTGCTGCCAGCGCCGAAATGAGCGCACACGCCTTGCCATATGCAGCTGGTGCCGATCCTGTCTCAGCCCCAGCTTCCTGCAGACGAGCGGGTGGTGGCCCTGCGGGTCCTCAACTCGCAGCTCGCCAACCAGGTGCGCCGCGGTGCGTTTGGCTTGAGTGCACACGGCTGATGACCGCGCCAGTTCCATAATGTCCACCAGAAAGTCCATGGCCTGGTGCACGCGACCTTAGTCCGTTCCATCTGCCCGTGCATCGCTGGGCACTGGGTCGACTGCCGGGAGCGTGCAGTAAGCTGACGACAGCGCTCCCCCTGCTTGAGGCAGGAGGCCAAGGCCGAAGCCGTCGCGGCCGGCGCCGCCGCCGCGGTCGTCGCGCTGCTGCTGGGCGTGAGCGGCAGCGAGGGCCCAACCAACGGCTGCGGAGGTGGCAGCAGTGCCCAGGCCGGCGGCGGGAGCGGCGGCTCGGATGGCGCGGGGTCTGACCTGCAGCAGCAGCTGTGCTGCAACGCGCTGGAGGCACTGTGCCACCTGCGGCAGGGCCGCGCGGCGGTTGTGGAGAAGGCTGGGCTGCACGCGCTCACGGCAGCGCTGGGCAGCGTGCCGGACGCCGCATCTGCAGCCCTCAAGGTGCGGCGCATGTACGTGTTGCGGGTGGGAACACAGGGCAAATTGGATTCCGCGGGGCGAGCTCACGGGAAACTGCCAGGCAGGGTAACCCTCATCCCCAACAGAAGTCATGGCATCCAGCTCCATCCCCTCTTTGCCTGGGCTTGTGCACTACGCGCCTGCAGGCGTTTGCGATGTCGGCCGACGGCGTCGCGCACATGCAGCAGTCCCCAGCGCGCGTAGTATCCTCCTTGGTGGACGCGCTCGGCCGCGTCAACACGCCGCTGGCCGCGGCGCGCGACATCGCGGCGGCGCTGGCGGGCGCGGCGGGGACAGAGACGGGCGTGGTTGAGGCGTGCGGGGCGCAGGTGTGTGTGGCTGTCGCGGCGAGCCTGCCCACGTTCAAGCGCACCTGTCCGCCACGCACGCGGTGAAGGAAGACTGCGGGGTTGCGGGTCGCCGGTGAGCGCATCACGCTGCCGCCTCAGGTCCACCATCCGGGCCACCAATCAATGATTCTGCCGGCCTGCCCGAGGACTTGCATCTGGTGTTCAGGTTTGCGTCACCCTGAGCAATCGTACCCCTCCGCACGAATGAATATCAGGTGCCGGCCGCCATGGTTGCGCTGGCGCAGCGCGTGCTGCGCTTCAAGCTGGGCGGCGACGGCGGGGGTTTGCTGGCAGAGGTGCTTCACGAGGCGTGCGCCTGCCTGAGGGGCATCTGCCACCACCCTGACGGCAAGGTGCGCCCGGCCGGCTGCCTGCTCCATCCTGCCTGCCGCGAAAAGCGGCCCGTCAGAGGACACATCGTCGCAAGCTGGCCTTGTCATGTTCTTGCAATCACTGGGAACCCTTGGCACTTGCAAACCCTGCTGCCGTTTGCGCATCAGGTGCAAGTCAGACTGGCTGGCGGCATCGAAGGTGGGTGGAGTTGAGTGACGCCCAAGAACCAACATGACTGCGGTGAAACATAAGGCGCATGCCTGCCTGCTTTGCAAGCGCACCAGCCTGCTGCATCGACGGGCGCACAAAACCCCGTGCGCAGCTCCACCAGCACCCCACACGGCGTGCAACAACGGACTATCATGCAGTGCTGGCCGCTGTGCTGAAGGCTCCAGGGGCGGCAGCGGACCTCTGCTGTCTTGCTGCATCGACCCTGGCCTCCATCGCAGTGGACGCAGACGCCAAGGCGAGATGGGGCGCGGCCTGCCCAGCAGAACCTGCACTGGCATCCCAAAGCGGGGTGCAGTATTGCCATTGGTCGAATTGTGTGCTTTCATCACATGCAGGCAGGATATTGAACGTCGTGTGTGCCACTGCTGGCTGCCACCAACAGCACTACACCGCGCCTCCAGGAACAGAAGGACTTTGCGCAAATAGAACCCCACTAGACTTGGGACTTTTCACAAATCCACCAGGTACCTGTCATGATGCACGCGGGCCCCAGCCTGGTGAATCTCCTCAAGTCGAGCTCAGACCCCGAGTCATCCGGCTCGGCGGCCGCAGCGCTGCGGCTGGCCCTGGAGGAGCCCGACGCGCGGCGCAAGCTCGAGGTGCTGCTGACGCCGCAGGAGCGTGCGGCGCTGCTGGGGCGGCTGCCGGATGTGCCGCCGGCCTACAAGTATGTTGTTCAGATCCCCACCAGGACTTGAGCCGAGGGCATGTTGTAAAGCGAATAGTGCAGATGGCCGACCAGCAGCGGGTTGCTGCACCATGTAGGGACGGGTGGCATTGCCGCTTCACTAATTGTGCTCTAAGGATGCGGCATGTTGACGTGATTCGTGAGAGTGGCTGACCAACTCAAATACTGTTACTAGGGCAGGTCGCCGCTGTCGGCCGCCGCGAGCCATACGGTAAGTTCCCGGTGCAGGATGAGTTGAAACCGCCGCAGCCTCGAGTGCTTCGGCCTCGGGCCCGACGGCACTTGAGTTCAGCCCTTTGCGAGCAGCGCAACTTCTACTGGCTTAAACGATCCTCGTTATACTCATTCAACTTGACTTGTTCAATTTCGTGGCTCGCAGCGCGGCACGTCACGATGCAGGCCCCAAGCAGCACTCCCCTCCGCCGAGCGAGCAGCAATGCAGCGAACAAGCGCCCCAGCTGCTTCAGCGCCCATACCGGAGCTCGGTGAGGCAGCAGCGTATCTTGTGTTGTGTGGCCCGCGGTGCAGGATCTACCAGAGTGACGGAAGACGCAATGTACTTTTGATGCACGGGCATGCAATGCAAATAATTTTAATTCGAATGCGCAGGCAGCAGCGGGCGGTGCAGGCGGCCGCCGCGGCGGGTGGCGCAGAAGCGGCGATGGCGCGGCGGCAAGCGCTGATGCTGCTTGGCGCTGGTTCGCTCTTTGCTCTTCCGACCGCCCCAGCATTTGGTGAGCTTTGCTATTGTGTAATCCACTCGCTTGTGTCAAGTCCTGGCAACTGTGCTGTCAAGACAGGGCTGAGGCCACCAGCGAGCTGAGGCCATTTGTGATTGCCTTGACTCATCACCCCCACCACCCCACACCCCACCTCGCAGCCCTGTCCGGCACGCCCACTGTGTGCGCCGACCAGGACACCGGCGAGGCGGCAGGTGGGCGCGGGAAAGAGCGCCGACCAAAGGCACATAGCTGCGATGCGGCACCCAACCGTGTTGATCGCTGCTGTGGCTTGCGCCCATCGACGCCCGTGGCTCTCCCCACCTGCTCTCATGCCCGCTGCTGCTGCCGCTACCGCAGACGAGTGCCGCGCGCGGGTGCTGGCGTCAGATGTTAGCAAGCAGGAGGATTACACGCGGTTTGAGAACCGCTCAGGTAGGAGTGCAACCTTTGCTCCTGAATCAGGTCCATCGTCAGTCGGTTTCTGGGAGCATGCGGGACAGTGCCCTCACTGCTTCGGCGAGCGACGGCCGCCGGCTGTCGTAGGTCCCAGGATCGTTGCTGCCCCTGCAGCCACTCACCCATCCCAGGTCCCATGGCCGCCTCTCCTCGGTCAGTGCTTCCGGGGGCAGAGCCCAGCTCCTCTGCCCCATCTCAATGTGCTGCGAACCACAACGCAACCGCCTCGCAGCGCGCGTGGCCGGCGGCGTGCCGGTGTCGACCATCGACGACGAGTACACCCGCTCCACCCTGGAACTGGCTGAGAAGCTCGAGACTTACTTTGTCATCGTGAGCGGCCGGATGTGGTGATGGGGTTGGCGGTTGCGATGGGAGTGGTGCTGGCGGCGGTGGATTTGCATGTAGCGCTGGTGGTGGCTGACTAATGGTTGCGTTTGTGCAAGGGTGCTCAGGGTCCCCAAGGGTTGCTGGCAGTGGGCCCGCGTCCCCACGCACAGCTTATGGCGGCCTGCAAAACGGTCTTCCTTGTGCCAATGCTCTCAGGACGTGTACGACAAGCAGCGCGTGCCCCTGATCAAGACGATCAAGGTGGGTTTCGTCGCCTGGGTGCTCAACAGGGCGCGGGCTAACAGGCAGGCAGGATCGCGTCAGCCAGCATGCGCGTGACGCAGCGGCATGAGTCGCCTCGTGAGGTGCACCCCACACACAGCGCTCATCACTGTCCAACCCTCACCCTGCCCTGTTTGAAACACCGCCACCCTGTATAAACCGGGCAGACTGACGCCCAGACGTGGGTGACCAAGTATGCGCGCGGCGGCTCAGTGCGCAAGCAGAGCGCGCGGCGGTTCTACATCGCGGTGGACGCCGTGCTCGGCCACTTCGCCTCCAACGGGTGCGCAGGGGTGTGCAGGGGACCCCCCTGCTTCCTGCGTCGTCAGCCGCCGGCTGTTGGCGGGGGCTCGCGGCGGTTGGGACGATGGGCAGCAGCCTGGGGCCGTGCGGCGGAAGCAGGCCCTGCTTTTGCTTGGGGCAATTATGTTAGGGTGGGAGCCTACCTGCTGACCTGCAAAACCGGCTGACTGCCATGCCGACATGACACACACACACACACACACACACACACACACACGCACCATGGCCACCACAGGCTTGCCCCGTTCCCCGGGCGCAAGGCCGCCGCCGTGAAGACGAGCATCGATGAGGCCCGGGCGCTGCTGGCCGAGGCCAAGTGATCTAAGGACTCGCCGCGCGCTACTGCAGCTGGCTCGTCGCTGATTGGCGGCGAGGCGTCGACTTCTGACCACCCCTGCTGCCGAGCGCAGGAGCGGGGGCGGGCTGCTGCCCGTCGCGGCAATAGACATGGCCTGCCGCCCTTGTGCACGAGCAGGGCCTGGGTTTTTTTTGCGTGTGCACAGTCGGGCCCTGATTTTGCGTGCTTGTGGCGCGCAGGTGCTGCACATAGCAGCTGCAAAAAGTTTTTGAGAGCGAGGCAGATAAACATTTTACGTGATGCCTAAACTTACTGCCACGCGGCGCATCTGAAGAATCACGCAGCGCCCACAGCAGTACTGAAAAACACATCTTGGCGCAGGTTCGCCGTCCACTGGCACAATTGTAATGCCGCTTGAACACGCATCGCACGGCTCCTGGACCCCTGCCCTTGCCGACTCCTCGGGCATGGTCAGGTGCTGTGGCGAGCTGCAGTCGTCCTGCACGTTGGTGTGCGCGGCGCCGCCCTTGCCTCGCAGCATCAATCTGGGACGCGGAAACGGCGCGTGCATGGTGCTGGAGTGATGCACTATTGTCTATCACGTGGATACGGTCAGGGCAAAGCACTCAGCCCCAAACATTGCAGCCAGAAAGCTGCCTGTGAGCCTTACTTGATAGGATACAAGCGAGCCTCAAGCGACTGAACAAATCACAGCAGCAGGCGCACCTACCATACCCAGCCCGCACCCTGCCGCCGCTGAGCCGCGCCCGCCCCCCTCCCCGCGCGCCCCGCTCACGCTTGCGGATCCTGAGGGGCCAGTGCGGGAACTTGGCGTGCCAGTAAGCAATGCCGTACTGCTCCAGGGTGCGCTGCGCGTCATCCAGGTGCTTCCCTGCATACGACAGCCGCTGCAGCGCCGGCAGCACGCCGCCTGCGTCCTGCGGGGGCCAGCGTTGGGGCGGGGGCATCGGCATGCCAAAGCTGCCTGCTTGCATACTCCTGCGGCCATCGAACCCCAGGCACCCCTGCTTTGTGCCCCCAAGGCCACCCCCTACTCTTCTCCTGGTTGCAGGCGTCGCCCTCCCCTCTTCCCGCACCAACCCGCTTGCACATGTGCGTGCTCATACTTTCGGGAGCGCTCGCGAGAGCACAAGCGCCAGGGTTTGGGCTTTAGGGGGATCCCTAGTCCCTGCGCACCCTGATTATGCGCCGCAGCTCCTCCACCCTCATCTTGGGGGACACCGCAATCTGGAAGGGCCCCCCGCTGTGGCGGCCGTCGGGGCCCCTGGTGGAGCCATACTCAGAGGGGTCGTGCTGGGGGGCGTGCGGTGCGAGGCGCGGCGCAGTATGCAAGGGTATGGAAAGTACGGACAAAACCAGGTTGGAGTGTGTTGCAAGTGACCTGCACGAGTGAAGGCAGGGCGTAGGGTTGCGGGTACATGACACAGGTGAGAGCGGGCCGCACAACACGGGGAGAATGTAACTGTCTGGTTGACGGAACGGCCTGCTGCCTGTCTGCTGTACAGAGGGCGGAGTCAGCTGCTGCCGCCCACCAGCTCGCTGACGACGGTGAGCGTGATGGTGGGCTGGCCCTCCAGACGGTTGCCGGGGGTTACGTAGCCTAGCGCGTGGGGGCAGCAGCGCGGCCGCAGCAGTGGGCGTGTGTGTTAGGGGGAGTCGAGGGGAAGCCACTGCATGCACGAGCTGGACACACTGTGTGTGTTTGGGGGGGGGGGGGCGAGTTTCCCTGCAAAGTG